ATTGTTTCCAAATATATCTCATCTCCTTTGGAAGTTTGTGCAGCTCTTAATATTCAAAATCCTTGCTCTAAGATGAATTACTTGGGTATTCCTATTTCAATCAAGAAATATTCGCTTGCATATATTCAACCTCTTATGCTTTCCATCTCTAATCATTTGGTAGGTTGAAAAGTAAGACTTATTTCTATGGTTGGACGTCTTCAATTTCTTAGATACACAATCTGGAATATGATTGCTTATTGGATTCGGGGTTCTATCATACATAAATCCTATCTTAAGAAACTTAGTAGAATATGTGCCAAATTCATCTTTTTTGGAGACACTGAAGCAAAAAAGCTACATCTTATAACTTGACATAAAACATGTAAACCGTAGTCCAATGGTGGATTGGGGATTCCTAACTTTCAAGCTCTACAATTTGCTACATATTGCTCCCTCATCATCAGATTCTACAACTCAAATTCTCCTCTTTTTTATTATTTGAATGCTAAATTCAATACACCATGGTATCCTGCAAAAATCAAAGCATATAAGTTTTGTATTGAGATGACAAAGGCAACGAAGTTTATCTCCTCTAGCCGACAAATTCACCATCACCTCAAATTGCAAGTTGGTTATGTTGTGGGATTCATGGGTTAATGGATGTTCCCTCGCCTTTTTAATAGTATCATTTGCTCCCTTCTTCCCATTTAAGCAAAGGTCTTGGATTTTATTGTTGAGGGCTCATGCAATATCCTAGATTTTTTTTAGGGTCGATTTTGTTTCTTTGGATACCATTCCTATTGGTAATGATATTGCTAACACTATCTCCTGGAAGGATAACAAAAAATATTATAATTTTTTACATTTATCTTTGAATTTTTTAAATGTGATAATATGGTTGGGTGGTCTAAGTTTGTATGGCATAAACATCATGCCTTGAAATATTTAATTTATGTTTGGATGGCACTGAATAGAGTGCTTAAAATGGCTGATGAGCTTTTAAAAAGAAATATTACGGCTAAATAAACTTGTTCTCTTTATTTTACTTATGTTGAATCCACTGATCACATTCTCTTTGAGTGTAACTATATCTTTAATGTGTTGACAAAGTTGATTCCAAGCTTGGGTGATTATCTGCTGAGGCCGAGACTCATTCAGGTTTTTTATTCTTTGGGGGAAAGGTACTTCTTGGTGAAAAACCAAAAATAACTTATACATGTTTACTGTTTGTTGTGTCACTTATTTTCTATGAAGGTAAAGAAACGAAATGAGGTTTAACTCTAAATTTATGAGTGCCATACTCTGTGTTATATTATTAAAATTGTTGTGGAACAGAAAACTATATCCTCAGGGAACCTTTCGGAATGTCTTGGCCTTCTTAAATTGCTGGTTTTTGTGTTGTTTCTGAAACTTTTGCACTTTTTTTCTTCTCGGTATTCATCGGTGTTATATGAACCTACTGGAATGCTATATCTTAATACTCTTGGGTGTTATCTGGATCCGTTAGCCTTTTGCCTTCTCGAATCTGCTCCTTTCTCTCGGGAATCTCTGGCGATGGTTTTCTCTCGGGATGCCTTCGTGAATCGGGTGCAAATATACTACGGGTTTTTACTTTTTGGCTATGGACAATGATGACTAAATTTGTTCTAGCTGACATCCCTTGGAGGGTCTACAGGCAACTAGGGAAGTTATTTTTGTTTGATTATTGATTTCATTTCCTGAGTTCAGACTTGTTTTTAAATATGCTTTTTTTAGTTTTTCTCTGTCTTCTTTCACCTGTTGGTCAATCTCTGATTAGTTTTTAGGCGTTAACTTTTTGTTTTTTTTCTTCTGCAAATTTTGTTGGGTGAGTTTGCTCACTTTTTTACAGCTGCTCATCTGCCTCTTTTCACTTATAAAGCAACTTTTTGAAATTCTCTGGTTTTAATACAAGGGCTATGCCCACAATCTCTCTCTCTCTCTCTCTCTCTCTCTCTCTCTCTCTCTCTCTCTCTCTATCTCTCTCCCCCCCCCTCCCCAACAAAAAAGGATTAGAATCGTCACCCATCATGTTCGTATTTGAATTGCTTAGTCAGTCAAAAAATAAAAAACAAAAACATAAGGTCTCTAACGTATTCAGCGCGCGAGCTATAAATACGTGGACAAGTTACATAAAAATTTTGAAGTAATAAAAGTTATTTTGGTCAATATGAATTTACTCAAATTTAATTTGATAGGGAAAAAAATAAAACTTCTTTTATATACTGTTTTTTTTCACTTATAAACAATATAAATACAAGAGTTCAATTGTTCACAAAAATAATATGATTGTTTGTTTTATATTATATATGTAATGAGGCAACAATATTACATGCTATATACGGGCAAAATTGTCGGTTAAGAAAAATTATTTATGATGAACAAATTGACCAAAATTTTGGAGATTTAAGTGTAAAAGATAGATTTTTTGTTCTATTTAATTGGAGATAATTTAACTACTAGAAAATCAATCATTTTTTTGTGCACTAGAACATTCACAATAATAGAAAAAGTTTATCTATTTTAAAAATTATGAAGGAAAAATGATTAATTTTGATGTAATTGAAGTTATTTTACTAGTCTGACAAAGGATTTATTTCTTCTGATCATAGAAGGCATGAACACTGTGTAATCAACATGAATTATGTAAAATAGCTTTCATGGTAAAAATAGGAGGAACCTTAAGCTTGCAAAATTGCTATTAAGAGATGATCTAAAAATTCATTTGATCATTATCTTTATAAGATGGTATATTTCAACCTAGGAAGGCATCTTTAAGCTTTGGTAGAAAAAATAATCATGACAGACATTAGCCTAGATCTAATGATGAGTGATGATGTGGATGTTAATGGTGATTGCCAGCCTTGTTGGGGACAACAAGTATCTCATAGACTCATAGTATGTGATAGCGAGTGTCCATGTTAGTGTCTACGATGGGTGTTTGACTTATTGGCAACAATGATAATTATGATTGTTGATGATAGTGGGCACTAGTCTTGGTACATTGGTAATAATATGTGTTGATGTTGGTCTCAATAACAAGTGTAAATCATATTGGTGATGACGAGCATTAAGGTTACTAGTGGGCATTCATCTTAGTGATAATGGAGGGTGTTTTTCTCAGTGGAAAAGATGGACATGTAAGCTTTAGCATTGATGATAGACATTGAGTTTGTTGGCATAACTAGCATCAACATTGGTGTTGACAGCAGGTGTTATCCTTATTAGTTTCAATAGGCATTAGGATTGTTCACAATGACAGACACCAACCTTTGTGGCATTGACAAACATATTTGTAATAATGTGTATTAACATTGCTATAGATGATGGGGGTTAACCTCATTGACAATAACATATTTTAACATTTGTGTTGATGGTGAATGTTAGGATTGTTGACAACATCAAATATCCTCCTTTGTAGTAATGGCAACCGTCTAAGTTAGCGTCAACTCAATATGCCAATTTTGTTGGTAATAAAATCCATGAGCATTGGTGTTGATATTACTCAAATTGAGGTGTTAGCTCTAAGTGTACTATAAAATGTACCATTGATGTAAGTTTAACTAATGGTAATTAAATATAGTGCGGATTAGTTGTAGGGAGAGGTTGTTACACCATAACCCAATGCAATCCTAATTTCATGATGAATCACATAGAGATCGGTACAAATGTGCAATATAGAAGGAAAACTTCAACCTAATCTTGCATTACATATAAAATTTTGATTGGCATTTATAACCTTGTTCTCTTCAAAGTATATAGTAATTTTGAATTAAAGAAAAAACAAATTACTATTATCACAAACATGCACAATAAACGTAGAGATACTACACTCTATCATTTATAATAATAACAAAATTAGCAATTGAATCAAAACATTTTATAAGCTATACATCATTTATAAAATTAAGTGAAATGAAATATTACATTTCGATTACGGGCATAGAAACCTTTTCGACAGCACTATCATCCACATATCACATTACAAAATTAATATTAAGATGCAATTGATCAATTAAGGTAAATTCATACACACAACACATACATAAGACTCGAATCCAAGACATTGTAATTGATAGCCAAAACTATCAACTAACATACCAAGAAGAATTGCATCTCATTCTCCTATTAATGTTCATTCCATCATTTTCGAAAGCTCCCAAAGCTTTTTAGCAGAGGCCACAGTATCCTAAGGCTGCCATTTTCTTATGGAAGACATCTAGAAGATTTAAAATGAAACGCTAATCAAAGTTACATGTAACTATGCTAAACAAATTACAATTTTTTCAACTAAGGAGTTGTTATCGACGTTCGACGGCATTCGTAATTTTCTTCAACGTAAACTTTTAGACTTCTAACATGTTAGCCGATGTTTCTTTACAAAAAAATTGAAAATTCAATATTGTTAGGCCCCGGCCTGCAACTTAAAGCTAAAAAAAGTCTATTCGTTCAATAAAGCAAAGTTTATCATATAAAAATGATTTGCAAATTGATTCTCCTGTGTATCCGCAAAGAATAATAGCTCCTACATAACAGGTTCAGTATATTGGTTCATTTCCTGAAGCAAAACCTGCTGAATTAAGACTTGAGCTCTTAAGGTGGGCTCCTTCATACACCCGAGTCATTAGCCGGCTAGTACGCGTGGTTAACGTTTGGTGGTCATTCGAACGGGTCCCCCCTTTGGGAATCCGCAGTGGCTATTTCTTAGCCGTTAAAATACGGACCGCATCTTGGAACCACATAACGCCAAGTCACAAGGTCCCATCTCGGGGCGGTCGCAGATTTTTTTTGGGATCAAACCAATACTTAATCGCTATGATGAGTTAGCCACCATTCGATTTAATTTCAACGGCTGAAAACCCATCTCCTTCCGTCTCGAATAAATATAACAGTCAGGTGATCGCCGACACGAGCCGTTAGGGTGGCCGCCATGAAAGGATGTGTCACGTTTATCGCCGTTAGCTTAAACGATTGCTTTGTATTTAAGAGGCTGGTGAACCGATTCGGCGATTCCCAGGTGAGGATTATAGGAGGGAGATAAAGAGAGAGAGAGAGAGAAACAGAGAGATGGAGGCATGGGTGGCCGACGAGGATTTCGCAGTGTATAGTTGCGTGGGAGCGGCAGCGCCGGTGGAGGAGTTACTTGAGCGGTTGTGTTCTGTGGATGCGGAGTGCAGGATAGAGGCGGCGAGGGAGATCCGATGGTTGACGAAGACGTCGTCGAAGAACCGGCGGCAGCTCGCCGGAGCCGTTGGTCAGCTCGTCTCCATGCTCCAGTCTGAAAGTCAGGAGGGAGCCCAGGCAGCTATACTCGCGCTTCTCAATCTTGCTGTTAAGGATGAAAGGTGAGAGATTGAGCCCTTACTGAAAGGGGTAAAAAGTATACCCCTTATTTTCTTTGTTCCAATAAATTTGTTTAATACTATTTGGATCTCTGGCGTTGTTACAGAAATTAAAAAAAGACCTTGTTATTCATTTTGCTAAGATTCTGGGTATTGAGTAATATGTTCTATATGGTTTTAAAGACTGCGAAAAAGTTGGGTTATGAAAGGTTTAGCAGTAGAACTATTTTGTTCATCAGAAGGAGAGTTGAAATTTTAAGAGATTTTATTTACTGTTTAGGGTTTAATCCTTTGCAGTCGGATCACAGAAAGTGGGGTATGATTCAAATTAATCTTTTCGGAAGTAGAAAGAAGCTTATGCACATGAGCTTTGCTGATAATTATTGAATCATTATATATCATAATTCAACTTTAGCCCAACTATTGTGGTTGGCCTAGTTACAAAGACTTTATTTTGGATGGAAGGAAAGTAAGGAATGAAATGAATTCTCAGCAATCTCTTTGTTTATTTTGACTCTGCAACTGTTAATTTGAGCAGTTTCGTAGAATGGTTAAATTTTGACATTAGATGTTTTGGTAATTGCTTTAGATTGTCAATTAGCTCTTGATTTAATTTGCTTTTAATTCACTTCTCAGGAACAAGGTCAAAATTGTGCAAGCTGGGGCACTTTACTCACTCTGTGATTTTATGAAATCATCAGACTCAACTCTGCAAGAATATGCCACTACTTCTCTCCTCACCCTGTCTGCCTCTTCATTGAACAAAACTACCATCTGTGCAGCAGGTGCAATCCCTCTCCTCATCATGGTCCTTACAGATGGAACCCCGCAGGCTAAGATTGATGCCGCCGCCGCTCTGTTCAATCTGTCCACAGTTAAAGAGAACCTGAACTCCATCCTCTCATCCCATCCTATTCCAGCCATCATAAGCCTTCTCAAAACCATAAAGAAATCCTCCAAAACAGCTGAGAAGTGCTGTGCTCTCCTTGAATTCTTGTTAAGTTTTGATGAGTTTAGCACCGCCGCCGCCTTGACATCTGTGGAAGGAGGAGTGCTTACAGTAGTTGAAGTACTTGAGGAGGGTTCTGTTGTAAGCAAAGAACATGCTGTGGGCACTCTTTTAACGATGTGCAAGAGCGACCGTAAAAGATACAGGGAGGTCATTCTCAATGAAGGTGTGATTCCTGGTCTTCTTGAGCTTACAGTTCAGGGAACTCCCACTGCTCAGGCGAAAGCCCGCGAGCTTCTGAAGCTACTGAGGGAGTCTCCTTACCCAAGGCGGGAGCTTCAGGCAGATACACTTGACAACATAGTATACAACATAGTTTCTAGAATAGATGGCGATGATAAAATGGGGGTGACAATGGCGAAGAAGATGCTGGCTGAAATGGTACAGGTCAGCATGGAGCAGAGCCTCAGGCATTTGCAACAGAGGGCTTTTGTTTATACTCCAGCAGATCTTCCATTAGGTAGCTGTAATTCTCAGGTTAGTTTGAAGTAGGAGAGAAAGATCCATCTTGGATCATCTCCTCCTTGTGTTTTTCATGTTGCAGTAAAGAAAGGTGAAAGATGCCAGTCCAGGCCATGAAGGTAACTGGTGACTGGTTAGTGTTGATACTTGTATGTTTAAATATGTGCAGTAATTCAGCATGGATGTGATACTGTGTTGAAATCATAAATACAGTCCAAAATGCTTATAATAATGCAGATTGCATATTCTCTGAAGGCTTATTTTGATTGCTTGTGAATGAAAAACATACTTCAAGATATAGTGATTCATTTTTAAACGTGGAAATAAAATTATTATAAAAACAAATTATATTAAATGTGTAATTAATAATTTCTAATTTTTTTTGAGAGGAAGTGATGAGGCCGTCAATATGAATGAACACTTATTTTAGAGGTGTCAAAATTGGTTTGTGGGTCTGGTTCGGGTCGAACATGGATTGATTCGGGTTTAAATGGGTTGACCCCAACTTGACTCGGTTTTGCAAATGTGATAGGATTGCCAATTTGGATTTGACCCACATGGGTTATTGGATTGACCCAACATGACCTGCCAACTTGCTCTTTTTCGCATTCCGGGTTTAAAAGGATGGGCGCGTGACGACGTGGTGAAGGCGGGTTAGGTGAGGCGGCGGGCGTCCAGGCCGAGACGGTGCCTCATTCAAGCGTGTTGAATGTTGCGTGCCTCGTGGGCGGGCTGGCCCGACTAAGCGCGTGACGGTGTGGTGAAGGCGGCCAGGCCGAGTCGGGCTTGGGCTAGGCAGCTGGGCGCGTGCCAGATTAGGCATGACTGGCTCCCCTTGTGCTAGTAGGCTAGGCAGGGCAAGACCCATGATAGTGTGGCACGGAAGGTTGGCTCGCAGACCTGGACCTGGGTAAATTTCGGATTTATTTTGGGTTTATGGGTTAACCCGAATCGAACCTGATTTTAGAAACATGCCATATTTTTGAACTAGAATCTAACCCGTTTGATAAACCGATTGACCCAAATCTTAAATTTTTCGGATATTGACATGCCTAATTTATTTGGGGGCTGTCTCAGCATGTCGGCCTTTTGATTGTTCCTGTGCAGTGCCAAAATATGGAGAGTAATGCTTCCAGCGCAGCATAATATTACAAAAGAAGAATATTAAAAAAATAGAAGAGAAGTTTTGGCTGAGTAAGCGGCCATTTGGTTGGTGTTTAAGCGTCGCCTTAAGCATCAAGTAATGTTTATTTTATTTCTAATTTATCTTGTGATTAAAGAGTCTTGTTTATTGTAAGCATTCTTAAAATTGACTTAAGCTAAGATTGCGAAATTCTTAGTTCATTAGGCTTAGCTTAATTATGATAAATTTGGAACAACTAATAAGCTTATATATAATCTAAAATCATAATATTAAATATTTACATTAATTAATAATTAATTAGGATATTTCTCTATTAAGTTATGATCATTAAGTTTTTGTTAATTAATTTATCATTTGATCTAACTGAAAGTACCAAATTAACTGTCATAAATTTTTTTTAGTTAAGATGACTATGATATTTAAGCTTGAGATCTTTAATTAATCACTATATTATTTTTTGCGAGCTAGAAAATACGCGACGATAGAGATTTAATTCTGCTTCTTAACGTTGTACGGATAACTAGCTTACACAGAAAACAAAAGATTTTTTACGTGGAAAACCCTTAAAAAGGGGAAAAACCATGAGGCCTAGCCTAGTTGAAAATGATTCCACTAGACTTTGAGTCGGTTACAAAGGACTGAATCCCTTGTAAGGGCGATCAGATTTACAATCAGTAATTGTTCGATAGGAGTCAGGTGTTAAACCCGGTGTCACTTGGAAGTTCGGGTGTTGATAGTCTGGCCTTGAGCAGGATGTCGAGTCTTCAGCAGGACGTGAACTTCGGGCCTGAATGTCGGGCATTAACGTCGGGCCTTGAGGCGGTGGTGCAATGAAAACTTCGGCGGTGGTCCGGCAAGGCTTCAGTGGTGGTCCGGTGAGGTTCCTGCGGTGGTCCGGCGAGGTTCGTCTGGCGATGTTCCGGCGGCGGTCGAGGAGGAGCTTCTTCCTTCTCTTCTCTTCTTCTCTTCTCTTCTTGCTTGGATCCTCTCTTGTAAAGAATGAGGACTCTATTTATAGATTTTCTGGAGTGGCATAGCTCGTAATAGGCGTGAGATCAGGGGCGAATAGGGAGTGGTCGAATGGACACCTGATATTGAATCCTATGATCGTGCACCGTTCGTTGGACATTTGAAGGCCTTTATGATGTCGGAATTCTGTGATCTTGGGCTCGTTGGATTCGTCTCGTCGAGCCGTTCGATTCGAGTATAAGATCGTTAAAATTGGAGACCGTTTGGTAACTCAAATTGCGGTTTGAACCTTCCAACAGCTCTTTGGGTCCTTAATTTGGACCCATTTGGGCTCGGATTGGGTCGAATTTGGTGTCGTTGGGTTTGTATTTCCGAGACGCTCAGTTTGACGATAAGCTCGTTGAAATCGGAGTTCACGTGCTCCCGAATTTAATTTTTGAAGTTTCCGGTTTGAGTTTTGCCTCGAGATTCGTGCCCGATCAAGATAATTTTATGATGACGTATCATTATTCATACTAAAAAGTAACTTTTTTTTTTTTGTTATGAAATTTATCATTTAAAATAGCCTGATCTAAATTTGGAATTACACTTCAATGTCCTATGTCCTATGTGCTTTCGGCTGAACGTATGGTTTTGGGTGTGCTGTGCAAGCCAAAAGTCAGCAGTTTGTTTGCCAAATATTTGGGCTGTTACTTGGTAGAGATTATGGTTGAGCGAATAAAGGCAGAGGAGAGCAAAAAGTGTTCATATAATAATATTATTATTATCATTCGATGAAAGCAGGTTGTTGAAAAAAAAAATATTGTGATGATTTTATAGACACACGAGTACGTATTTTTGCGGAACTTTTAAGTGAAAATTTTCAAAGAACACCTTAATATAGAAGAACTATATAAAAAATGTTTTTTGACATTGTCTAAGGGGCATCTGAGCATCTCCAATAAAACGGCAAGCAACCATTTGTCATTCTTCCGTTGCTCCAACCAAGCGGCAATTGTGACGCTATTTCATCACGGATGAACAGTGCGACGTCAATATTGACGTCGCACTGTTCACCCACCATTTTTTTTTAAAATCGAAAATTATATAAAAAGAAATATGAGAAAGAATATACTAGGAATATTCTTTTTCTGGTATTAGAAAATGGAGTTCGGTTGGAGACAAGTTACCACATTTTGGTGCATTACCGTATTTTGGAGTGAAAAATGAGTTTTTTGGTTGGAGATGCCCTAAAGCTTTGTTTGGGACAGTTTTTTTATTAATTTAAGAAGTAGCTTTATAGTACAAAAATTTTAATTCAAAAATTTTTTTATACTAAATGAGTGTTTCATAAAACAATAAGAAAACAGTCTTTTTATAAAATTAAAAATTTTGTACTTAAACACCGTTTTAAGAAGCAAAAAAAAAAGTTGTCCTAAACGAAACCTAAGACTACAATCATAGTAAGTCTAAGCTTTAAAGTTTTTGAATATGCTTTAAGATAAGTAAAATACATAGATGATTAATATTACACTCATCTTATATCAAATCTAAAGACTTTTACTTTTTTTTGGACTACTTTCTCGCTTCTATGTTTTTTAGATCACAATCTAAATTTATATCTGGCCACTGTTTTGTTTTGCTATTTAAAAAAAAATTGTACTAAAAAGCTACGGTTTATAACAACTTTATAGAATTATTTTCTCTACAACAGTTCTATAAAATAATAAAAAAATTATCACAAACGAAACCTTTAAATTCCATCATGATCACTATTTGATCAAGTTATTCTAACACACACAAAAAAAAAAAAAAAAAAAAATCCAAGAATAGCAATCACTTTCAGAGATTACCTAAAATGATCAAAGTGTTAGAAGAAATTTGAGTAAAAATAAGCTTAGACTAAAAAAATAAGAAAGACGAAGAGTTTGTAGAGCATTAGAAAACTTGCAACAAAATGACTAAAGTATGTTATATTTAAGAACTATATTTTAAGGTAGTTTATAAAGAAATTTTAATCACAAAGAGCCAAATGAGTACCTCATGAAATGGAAGTATGGAACCAAAATTCAAATCCTTGATTTGGGTGTATTGGCGTCCACAGATCTCGTCCAATTAAATGAGGAGACACAAAGCTTTGATGGAAGCTTCAAAGTGACAAAAAACATTAAGGATGTATATTTGATGAGATATTAACACTAAAAGTATTTAATGATTTTTTTTAATTCAGGCAAAAAATTAGATTTGTAGGGTCTCATTGATTATTCATGAGAGTCGACTGCCTTAATTCATTTGCCTTTTAGAGTTTTTGACTTATAAAAAGTATTAAGTATTGTTGCATTTTAGAACATTCGCAGGAATAGAAAGATATAGGGCTTAACGTCTTAGCTTAGAACACAGATCCAACACACATACAAATAAAAGAGAGGGGTGCGATATTCATAATAGACATCAAAATTTATACATGAAAAATCCTTAAAAGGGAGAAAACCCATAGGGCTTGATCCAGTTTGAATAAATCCACTAGTATTGGTGATTGATTACAAATGATGTGCTTTCATGGGGGGGAGGCTTGGACTAAATGTAGCAAATACACATTGTATATATTTCATTATATGACAATTATTCTTAAGAGAGTGTTAGCAAGTTTGTTTAGTTAGTAGGTTTGTGGTCAAGAGACGGAAGTCAGAGGGACCATAATCGGCAAGTAACAGAGCTCAATAGAATTATCATCAGGTGATAGTGGTCGGAGGGATCATAGTTAGCGGGAGACAGAGGTCGAAAGGACCGTAGTCAGGAGATGGCGGTTGTAGGTACTATATTTGGTAGGCGATGAAGATAGGAAGGACCGTAGTTGGGCGACGATGGTCGGAAGGTCCGTAGTCAAGAGACGATGGTTTGAAGGACCATAGTAAGGTGATGATTGTCGGAGGTATTGAAGTTGGCGGGTGATGGAGGGTGGACCGTAGTCAGGCAACAGTGGTTGAGAGGATCGTAGTCAGGAGGACCATAGTCTGGTGATGGTGGTCGAAGGGATAATATTCATAATCTACGGGCGACAGAGGTTAGAGGGATTGTAGTTAGCAAGTGACATTGGTCAGAAGGATCATAGTTATTATACAATGAATGTTAAAGGGATCATAATCAGTAAGTGATAGTGGC